TGCATGTTAGAACGTAGTTGCTTGCGGAAGCATGGAACTCCGAGCAACATGAGTGCATAGGTTGAGCCGTACGCTGCGTATAAGGGTTTGATGCGCATTCGCCTGCTCGAGGAGACGTCGATTTGTCTTGCAAATGGCTGTGTGACTGGCATTCAGGCTAGTACAACACGAAGGACAACGCCAGTGGACCTATGCCTCTTCTCTCGTAGGCTGAGCATCTCAATCTTAAAGGCAGGTGTCATTGGTCCACCTATTGCTTGTGTGAAATCTCAGGATCAGCGTGGACACAGTCCCGGCGATTTCGTATCTCGCTCTCCTGCATCTCAATGGCTGGGCGATTCATGTTGATACTGCGAGGTCTTATACTTCGGCACAGCGACGAAGAGATAGCCTGACAATAGAGTCTAGACTGTCGAGGCAATGGCTATGTCAAGCTTCCTAGTATATGCACACAAGCGGAAGCGGGCATTAGCAGTAGTCCGAACAGCCTTTGTCTATCCGTGGGCGATGCTCGGAAGAAAGAGGGAATGGGAAGAGGAAATTACAACACCTCAGCCTGCGAGCTTGCTGGAGCCTAATTGATCCCGGCAAAGTCCACGGACGCAATTGTTGAATGAGCCTGCGGCAGCTGCAAGCGTCCCATCAAGATGTCGCTTTCTTGTAAAGTTAGCTGTACAACATGTTCAAACTCTTCTCTTTGAAATACAGAGCGAAGGACCTACTATTTTCTATAGCGGGCGTAGAAATCGATCTCGAAGGGGTCGTAATAGCGATATCACTTGACAGGCTTTCGTCGCAAAGTATCGTACTCTCTCGAAGATCTTATAGCGTGATCAGTCCGCTCGTTCCGGCACAAGAATGATGCGCAGTTTGCCATTTCCTGCTCGTACTCGACGTTACGCACAGTGAAGTGGACGACAAGCCTCTCCAGCTCGTTGTATGTTGCTTGCAGTCCACTGTCTGTGCCATGATGATCTTCAAGCCGTGCACGTTCACGTCGATGCTCCTTCAACTCTGTCTCCGTTGCGGCGAAAACCATGCCGCCGGGCACGTTTTGTTCGGCCTCGTGACGAAGTCTCGCCAGGTATTGCTCTGAAGCGGTGACGTTGGCTGCAGCCTCTTCAATGGCTCGTTGACTGATGCTTCGAAATCGACCGCAAACCCATGCGATGATCGTGGCAGTCCGACGCTGCAGGCCTGCCAAATCCATCTGCTGCATCTTCAACGCTGCCATCACATGATGCACCCGAGCGTTGTGGTTGCCCACATCGCTAGCAAAGCCGGGGGTCGGGCGGGATGGCGCCACACAGAAATCGTCCTACGCCGCTTGGGCATATTCGCGGCCGCTGGACAGTCCTGGGTAATCCGCCGTGAGTGCTGCTAGAGTGGCAGCCCAAAGCGGCGGATATGGTATGTCGGCTGTCAAATTGTTCGGCACTTGTCCCAGGAACATGAACGTGACCATAGCCACCGCTGCGCTCTGCGCCAGTTGTGGAGGATGCTCCAGGTGCAAAATCTCGGTGTCGACTGGTCCGCTTGAGTCTGGAACGAAAGCCAGCATCGTGCTCTCAATGTCCTCAATGTGTGTTGGGTATGCGTTTCCATCCTCATCGGGAGCAAATATCTTCAAGGTAATCGGTCTGGCGACCATTTGCAGCGTTGCAACGGCGACGATTGTATCGTGTGGGGGAATTGACGCTCCTCTTCCTGCCTCATTCTACGCGGCAGCTTTGGAAGCGCGCTCTCCATTCTCGCAAAACAGTACGCGCCAGTGCTCCACATCGGGTGCGGCAGGCGGGCGAGGTCTGCGGAGATGAAGGTGAGTAGGAGGAGGGGGGAGCGGAGCCATCGGACTTCTCACGCTGACGAGCTCGCGACGCGCTTGAAGAAGGCTCACATCGTGTCGCGACGCGCACCTGGACTCGACTGACCTTGTCACCATCGATGCGAGAACAGCAACAGCAGTGTTCCGACAGCACACTCGACCCTCGAAGCGCCATGAGCCCGCACACCCTCCATCGTCCGGCCCGCCTGTACGCCACGCAGTTCGGCGCCGCTGTTCAGCATGCAGTCAGCGCTGGTGTTGGCATTGCTCCAAGACGACACGACAGCCCGAACAGCGGATCAGTCGCCGCTCGCCCATCAAACAAGATCCCAGTAGCGCGCAGCCAGATTACAAGCCGCCACGCCATTAGGCACTGGCTTCCGCGAAAGCCTTCCGACGTCTCTAAACAGAGAGTCGATGCTGAAGTCCCTTCCAAGGTGCAGAGGAACAATATTCTCCTAGCACTCCTCGCCGACGTATAGGCCGCCATGCCATTGACTGCAGGGCATCCGATCGGGCCTCCCGGCAACGCAGTACAGAAACTTTGTTCTGAAGTCACTTCAACCGGTGCAAAGAAAGAATTCCCTCTCGCACTCCCCGCCAGACTGCTGGCCGGCACGCCGTCGGTCGCAGACATACGTTGGAAACGTTTTGGCGTCGCTGAACAGCAGCTCGGTCTTGAAGTCACTTCAATGGGTGCAAAAGAACAAATGCTCCTCGCACTTACCTCGAGATCACAAGCCACTACACCATCGGGTGCATGCAGACAGGTCAATCTCCTTGGAGAAGACCGGTAGCGAAGTCGCTCCACCTAGTCTATAGGAATGACTTCACACAAGCACCTTTTGCCATCTATTACCAAAAGATGTCATTCAACGTTGAACTTAGTGCTCGCGAAGTTTACTAATGGTTTAGTATTATTAATTGGCTAGCGTTTAGCGTTATCCTCCAACCCCGTTCTCCTCTAACCTTAGCATGTCCGACTTGTCCTCATTCTGCCTTTCTTATCGTCTTGGGAAATCTTGGGTCAACGATCGTGGATCATGGCTTGAAGCTTGAATCGACGGCTTCCTTCTGTCCGGCTTCACGAACATTATCCCGCAGACCTCGGAGGCTCCAAGCAGCACCGAATCATCCCTAGCACATGATCAAATTCGATCATGCATCTAGGAGATGTAGTGAAGGAAATGGAAACTCCAATGGTTGTATTAACGAGGGGGAACTCCCGTCGACGATAGAGAAAGAAGGTTTGCATAGCTGTGTCTTGGGGGTTTGGCCACAAAAGAGACCTCTGCTGAGATGTACAGACCAGCGCCCTCGTGGTGATCGAGCGAGTTGCGGCGGTGTATTTGCGACCGGCGGAAAGACTCGGGTCTAAAACTGCGTGTCTACCCGATGCGCCCTTATGGTGTCTGTGTTGGTTCTTTAAAAAAAAAAAAAAAAGGAAAAAAAAAGGGAAAAAAAAGTCACATACTCTAGATAATACCGCGTGCTGTGCTTGAGAACTTTTTTCACCCATGTGGAATCCTCATTATAGCCATGAAGCTGCAGATGGATGTTCGTTCAGGGACGCAAGCTTATCGGCGGTTAATTTAAACATTGTCGAGGGCATTGTTGAGCGTAGAACGGGTTGTCGTAGCATCACCAAGGATGGTGTTACTTGTTCTATTGAGGTTGCCACGTGCAAGTTGGCGATGAAGCGGCTTCGAGCAAGTGATTTGCTCGTTTGATGTAGAACAAAGTCGGGTTCGCTCGTCTGCTTGCTCGCCACTTGCTCGGCATTTCGTTGCATGCTCGCTGTTAATGGCTCTTATTCGTCGGTTCCATGTCGCTGAGATTGATAAATCCTACCTTTACAAGTCTGCCACTATTGCGAGTCTAGGCGTAAAGCTCTTCACTTCCGGGCGAGTATTCGCCACTTGAAGCCCATAGCAGCTTATTTCTTCCCTTTTGTTTCATTCGATCTTGCTTCAAAGCATCCCGAACTAGGTCGATCCCTAAGAACAAGTCTAGCAAGTTCAAGAGACAAACTTCTTTCTAGCTGAGGTGCACAAGTCTCTGTCCAGCTTTACTTGTCAAGGTACTTCTTTCGAGAATGAGAAGTCATAGCTAAGGCTAGTACGTCAGTCCACGTACGACCGGACGCATATTTCCTTTAGCGTGAAATAGACGCGTGACGAGATTCGGTTCTGCGGCAAGAAAATTCTTGGCCGAGCTTAGAGAAGAGGGTGTGCTGCCTGGTTTAGAAACTGTGAGTAGAAGAAGAACGCAACTTGACAAGGACAATGGCGCCGGTAGAGAGCAAGTGTCTGAGATCAGCGACACCGCATTGCTGTAGTTCAACCCGAGTCTGAAACTCTGGTATCATCATACACAACGCATCGAGGCCATCGATGGACAACAAACGTACTTTTTACATGCAGCTCAGAATGTTCGTCTTGTCGCTGGCCTTGCAAGTCTTTCTTGACGCTTGTCCTTGTTTCGCGCATTTGTTAACTGTACTTGTTGTTAAAAAAGAACTTGATTTAGAGGAAATTCGTCGCTGTCTGTAAAGCAGGAATGCGTTTGGACAGCTCTGCTTACGACGATGGGAATGACGTTCCGAATGTCATTTGGGGTTTGCATTTCAAAGAGCGTTGAAGCTGAAGTTCAAGACGCGTTCGCGTCATGTGTTCGATCGTGCTTTCATGTCCGGGACAGCTCCTGATAGCGGTAGCTGCCCGTGTTTGTCGCAGAATTATTGAACGGCGTGCTCGACGAAGGTCGCATGGTGATGTCAATGCTTTGATGTGTTTTGGGTGTTCGGTCAACTTCCCCAAGGCGGCTTGATCTGCAGCACTTTCACCCGCAATGCGGCTCAGGCACTGTTTCCAGAAGTGGGAATTCTTGATAGACTACGCAACGGAACGGACGGCTCGGCCCCAACGTTCGGGGCGCGCGCGCCGAACCAATGCTTGGCGGGCATCGCAGACAAACGACGACACTTCACATATCCTCTGCGAGCTGCATCGCGCTTCTTCTCGGCTTCTTCGACGGCGCCAATAATGACTGCTCTTGATCGCATCGCCGCCGCTGTGCTGCGACGCCGAGGCCTCCTCCAGCTGCTCT